CTCTACCACGTGTTTATTTTAACATCAAAGTCATTCCATAAAAAAAAAATTTAGCTTAACCCCATTAAAGGTTGGGTCTTTTTGGTGAATAACCAAAAAAAAATTTAAAAATTAAGAAAAATGGGGTATATGACAAATTGTAGGCCATTGAATTTGGGGTTTTTTATTAGTTTTCAAATTATAATTTTTTTGTTGTATTTTTGGCAAATTTTTCTTTAAAGGTTTCGACCAAAAAAAAACAAAAAAACAATAACCATTAAAAGTTTGAAATTTCGAATCCTCTTACGTAAAGGCTTCTCCAACCCATCCCTATTTTTTTTTCTAAAAATAGAGGAAAAAAATAGCAAAAATAGAGTAAGAAATAAGAATCCTCTATTTTTCTCCAACTCATCTCTATTTCCAACTATAAAATAGATATTGCTATTTTTGCTTCTATATATAAAGGAAAAAGTGTAGAGAACTCTAAAATAGAGAAAAAATAGTATTTCCTCTATAATAGAAATACATTGGAATGAAAATTGAATAATGCTATTTTTACTCTATTTTAGAATCAGATATAGAGAAATACACTGGAGATGGTCTAAGGAAAATAAGGGCGATGAGATGATGACATAAAGAGATCGTCGTTGCTATCGAAGACGTATTTTGAAATCATTTTAATCTGGTGCAAAACAAAAGATCATTAAATAATACAAAATTGAGTATTATAAGAAACAAAAGATCATTAAATAAGCCGCCCATACTCTTCACCGTAACTTTTGCTTGATTGTGTCCGGTGGCCGGCGATTTCCTTAGCGCCAGGTGGCGAAACCCTTGGTTTTAGTCCCTTTGCTTTTAGATCTCGTTGTTTTTAGTTTCTAGGAGTCAATCAAGGTTTTCTTTGGAATTGGTTTCAGATATGGTTTTGGTTCGTAGGTTAAGTCGGAGGTTAGGTTTCGTCTAGGTCTCAGTCAGCGTATGAGGAAGTGTTGGTGTTAGCTGTTGTTTGCTAGGTTGTCTTATTGGTCTTATGGTCTCTTCCGTCGTGAACTCCGGATCTGGACCTTTTCGCACCTTGCTTTCGTCTTCCATGTTTGACCAGATTTCTGGATCTATAGTTTATCCCTTAGATGGCTTGTGTCTCGTTTTTTGTCTTTGCTTGTTTTGGGCGCTACTTTCCCCGGGTCGGTCTATCCTTTAATCTCTTGATCTCTGGTTGGTGTATGAGTTTGCCTTCTCTCCTCCTTGTTTATTCAGTGGTGAAGGTCTTGTGGAGTTGTTAGTATAGCAGGTTGTTTTCTCGTTGGTGATGATGAAGATGTTCTCAGGGCAGGTCTTCCCCGTCCATCAGCTTAGTGTCCTCGCTCCCCGTCTTTTCCGCATAATTTTTCTTGCGGCGATTCATTTCAACATCTTTCCTTTAATGATATTGGTTGAGTATTAGTGAAGAAGCATCATAGTGTATTGGATTATGTTAGTTTCTCTTTTTGGTGGTCTTTTATGCCTTGGTTTCATATTGCTATAGTCATCTGTGTTGGTTTTTATCTCTACTCGCTGTCCGTGGAGGTAGTGAATTCAAGGGTCTCTTAAACTCATGATTTCCCATCTTCCCTTGTCGTGAATTACAGGTTGAGATCTTCCCTTGTCGTGAATTACAGGTTGAGAGCTAGCCTCCCGTTTCTACCTTATGTTGTCGTGGTAAGTTTGCAGAGTTGGGTATGGTTTGATTGGATTCTCTGTGCGGGGTTTAGTTTTGTTCAAAATGTTTAACTTGGGTTTTCGGTAGTCACATATTAGGCTTCCCTTGTTGTGGGTTTTGTTTCCGATGTTGTACTTGTTGACATCGGGTTTCGTATTCCAATCCCGTATTTCATCCGCGTATTCTACCCTTGTATTTCACTATTGTATTCTTCCTTGTTTAATATAATACTAGATTTTTGTACTGCGTCAAACGCGGGATTATAATATTTGAAAATAAAAAAATCATAACTTTTTATAATATACAGGTGAAATTAAAAATAAAAAAGGATAAAATGGTATATCTCCCATATAGATAAATATATTTGATCTTATAAAATTTAATATGCATGACACTTAGATTGAATTTAAGCGTTTTTAATGTAAATTGAATACGTTTGATATTATGGATTCTTTCAAATTTATTTGACCTCACCAAACAAAAAAATATCGCGTTAGTATGNAAATCTTCT